ACGCGAGCCCAGCTCGCCTTCACGTCCGCACAGGACTCAGTCGCTGCCACGGACGCAGCATATATACGCGAGCCGTGCTCGCCATCCCGCCCGCACGGGACTTAGACGCTGCCCGCGACGCAGCATATACAAAACACGGAGCCAAAGACTCCCGTCGCCGAATAACGTCGCGAATCATTTGCACCCCACGTCATCTTACGGGGCCGCTGGATAGCGGACTGCTAGCGACTAGGACCGCGGTCTCCACACGGCGAGCGGACATCAATCCGCATCCCGCATAACGAACCGGCCGCTCTCCACCCTCGGGCCGTTCGAAACAAATTGCAAATTTTACGCAGTCTCCGATTTTTTTGGCTCTTGGTAAGATCTCTAAACGTTTTTCGTTCAGACATCTAAAATTATAATAATAATGTAAATGTTTGGAATACCTACATGATTGCATTGTTATTTATTATATCACTCAAACATTATTTATATAGTATTATAAGTCAATGTAGTATTATAACCCAGATAGCCAAACCTGCGCGAGCAGATTTCGAGCAGAGCTTGCTATCAACTTTTGATGGCAAATAGATAACAAATTTGAAGCAGGATCTGTTATATCAAATCTTGCTGCCAAATTGCCGTCAGATATGCGGCAGAGCTTGTTGTCGGATAATTGCTGCAAATTTGCAGCAAAAACCGCACAGAGCTTGTAGCGATTTGACGGCAGATTGGCGGCAGAAACCGCGCAGACCTTGCTGCGCTGCAAGTTTTGCGCGGTTTTTGCTGCAAATTTGGCACCAATTACCCAACAGCAACATCTGTCACCAAAACCGTAGCTTAATGTAGACACAGATGGCTATGGTTTTGCTGTGAGTTTTTGATGAAATTTACTGCCAATCTGCGCGCAGTCTGCGTTCAATTTGCTTACTGGGAAGTTAAGCAATGACCTTGCTTAAAAAGTCTGATAGAAATCGGATAGAAAATCTATAAGATTGAATCGTGTTTTGGTTCATAAATTTCAGATTATACTTGAAATACTTGGTGGGTTTTCTATACTTCCATATATCGTTTTTAATCAATTTTTCCCGCAGAAATATATCATATTGCATTCGTAACGATAAAACACGATTATATCTCTATAACACATTTTTTATACAAACATATAAGAATAATTTGGATTAAATTATATAAAGTCTTATAAGCACTAAATCGTAACTTTTATATTAAATAAGATAACAGATAACAGAAAAAAAGATACAGAAATGTAGAAAACCTATCAAATATTTCAAGTATATAATCTGAAATTTACGAACGAAAAACACGATTCAATCAGATTGATTTTCTATTCGACTTCTATCGGACTTTTTCAGCAGGAGATTTACTAACTATGCAATATAATTAAAATTTCAAATTCTTTATACCTTTTCTTTATACTTTTCTTTATATTTTGTTATATTTTTTATACGTTTTATTTATACTTTTTATATATTCTTTTTTTCTTTACTATTGTAAAAATGCTATTCGCGAAATTCTAAGGTACACAGCATTTTATAGGTTAGGTACATTTCTTCCCTGCTGAAAAAGTCCAATAAAAATCAGACAATCTATCTGATTGAATCGTGTTTTTCGTTCGTATATTTCAGATTATAAACTTCAATTATTTGATGTTTTCTATATTTCTGTCATTTTTATCTGTTAGTTTATCTGTTATCTTATTTAATATAAAAGTTACGATTTAATGCTTATAAGAGTTTATATTAGGACCTTAACTTAGTTTCCGCCCGCAAATGTTAGATGGCAATGCAAACAGTTCTAGTAGTCATTACTAACGAAACAGGTAGTTTGTGATTAATTTCGACATTTCTCGATAACATTCAGTCAGCATACACAATTATTTTCCTAAACAACAATTTCTTTTGCTTTGTGAAAAATGGAACGCGATAAAGTGTTTTTTCGACATGTGCTTTTGCACTATTTTGATTTGAAAAAAA